GCCTTACCTTCATATTTTTTTCCAATGGAAGGTGGTATATATACAAGCTCATCTACGTCCAGTACAGAATAGTGCATTTGAGAGTGGGAGATGGAAACAAATTCTTTGTGAATCTAAGGGACTACTAGAATATTTTAGATCCATGTTTTAAGAGATATATTTTTAATCCAGTTATTATGCAATGAGTTTTCCTGATTACAGATTGAATTTGGTATTTTTAACGTCAATATTTTTTACCTAAGTGGTTTTGATGGCCTATTTTGATGCCTTGGCTACTGTAGAGGCATCTCAGATATTCTCTTATTTGATGGATTATGGATTAGTTGTCCATAACACAAAGCAAATCTATTTACCTATCTTCATTGAAAGCTCACGAATTATTTAAAAGTGGATATTTCAGACATTCTCTAAAGAATTAGAATCTCTGACCAATGGCTTCATGTTATTATGGTATCAATGAATTTGACTTTAAAGCATGTTTGTTTATTTATCACATTTATATGCTGTCCATCTCATTCTCTTTTGCAAGCACCTCACGGTCTTCTGCTGAACTTCAGCACTGCAGACTGATTCCTTGTGTGCCTAATCAGACTTGGTCAAATAAAGTATTCTATTTTATTACTAGTGGAGACAGAGACTTTAACAATGCTTCTTCCAATTAAGCCTGTTTCAGTAACAGCAGGCTGACTGAAAAACCTTATCCTCCTCTGTCTTTTACCATTTGCCCTCAAAAATTCTCCAATGTGCAAAGAGATAATTCAATCCTTCTTATTGTCTTAGACACTCTGCAACTGATTTCTGGGCAATAAGTTTCTCAGCACATGAAAGATTTTCTGCCCTGATAACCTTTAGCAATTTCTATATTCTCACAGTTTCATCAGCTGAAATATAATTTTGATGGAGAAAAGTATCATAAAGTCGTCCTCCTGCTAGTCCAAATGAGTAATCTATGGCCAGGAGCAGTAGGACTGGTGAGAAACAGATACAAGCAAGCATGTGAAGATCCTTCTATCATTGCATCACTTGCTCTACTGGTCAAATAGGCTCATAGATGCAAATCTATTATATCTAGCCTTCCCAAATTGTGTCTTCTTGGTGTTTCAGGGCTACACCTCTAACTATTTCCAATGGCCAAGCAGGATGGAATTCTGAAAGCTGTAGGCTCCAAACATTTGGAGACATCTGTTTAGGAAAGCATTTAGAGTCACCATAATTGTAGGGTAATTTGGCTGGGTGATGACCAAAACAAAATGTAAATATTTCTTTCCCACAATTATTTAGGAGCACTGAAGACAAAAGATTCACACTAAATATGAGTGTCTCTGTAAATTAAAACAAGGTTTCTAGAATAAAGTTCCAAACAATTTATTCTTACGCAATATCATAAAGATATTAGAGTGCATAATTACCCTTATACAATATTGTTAATGAATACTAGTATCTTCCATTGGACTGCATATATTTTATTATGAAGAAAAATAAATTGTAACATACTGTAAATTGTAACATATTGAAATACAATCAAACTAAATGTAAAGTACAGAATGCTATATTTCAAGGTAAAAACATTCACCAACATTATTGACAAACAAAATACAATTTAAACAACATGAGGATTTTATTAGGGAGATGTTTTATGTATTTACTTTATTTATAGAGGTTGTCTATTCCCACCTTTATTATATTTATAAATAACTCCAAGAAGCGAACATATCTAATACTCCTCCTCGTTTTCCCCACAACAATACCCTGTCAAGTGAGTTGGGCTGAGATGGTGTGACTGGCCCATAGTCATCCTGATGGCCTTTATGTTTAAAGCAAGACTTGAACTCAAGCTTCCCTTATTCTAGTCTCATGTTTGAACAACTAGACCATGTTGGCTCTCTTATAAGGAATCTCTGTTGAACAAAATAACTGATTCCATTTTGAAGCAACATGAAGTGAGAGAATGACAGAAAAAGAATTTTTCTCTCTTCTTTCAAACTGTTTCTTGAAAAGGTCAAACAATTTGGGAGGGACTATAACTCAGCATTGATAAATCCAATAGTAATTCTGCCTCTCTCTCTCCAAAAATACCACCTTTTGATACAGCCATGATCTTAGCAACAGCAATAGCACTTAGATTATATACCACTTCATAGAGCATTACAGTCCTCTCTAAGTGATTTATACAGTCAGCATATTCCCCCCAACAATCTGATTTTACTCACTTTGAGTAAAAAGTGAGGTTGGAAGGCTGAGTCAACCTTGAGCCTGGTGAGATTCAAAGTGGCAAATTGCAGGCAGTCGGCAGACAGCAGAAGTAGCCTGCAGTACTGCATTCTAACCACTGTGCCACACGGCTAATATTATTTCAAATATAACCAAATGGGTTATATTTGAAATAAGTGGAAGTGTTTCTTACTTTT